GGAGACAATCTGGAAGTCTGAACACTGAGGATTAGATGATATTAAGCAGTTATTGCTAATTTTGTTCTAGATGTGATCATGGTGTCATGGTTATTAAAAAAGTATCTCTTGAGGACACATCATAGGTACTTATAGGTTAAACCATGGGATAGCTGAGATGTGCTTCTAAATCATTTGGTCAGGGAGGAACACAGTATGTATAGAAACAAGGTTGCCCACGTATTTATCTCTGTTAAAGATGGGTAAGAACAATGTGCTCACTCATTATACTTTTCTCTCTACTGTTGAATATGGTTTCAAATTTTCATAATAAAATGTTTTAAAATTATTTTTAAGAAAAAAAAACAAGGACACAAAAAAGAAGAAACAATGTTAAATGTTTTAATATTTCGGATAAAAGGATTTGTAAACTAGGTAACATGGCTTTTACCTTTCTAGTCAATATTTATTAAACTGACTTACCCTATATGAATTTGAAAAGTTAATCATCATGAAAATTAATCTTGGCACTATACTATGATTCTCACACGGTATATTCAAGAATAAGGTTGTTTGTTCCTTACACCAAGTGAACCCAGGTTGCCTTGTCTGTTTGAACATCTTGTTTTTGTGATATTTGCCACTTCTTTTCTGGTATTGTCCCTTCTTTCTGCCGAGAGTGCCCTCCTTGACCTGTTTACTGCTTCTGATTTACTCTACATGTGAAGGAACCAGACAATTAAACTTATTACAGTTATATGTAGAATGACTACACTGCCTGGCTACCCAGGACAATTTCAGTCCTAGTGTAATTAATAAATAGCATTCTTTTAAAACATCTTGAATGTATCCTGGTTGGCTTTTTTTTTTCAAGTGATGGAGTCTCACTCCATTGCCCACACTGAAGTGCAGTGGTGCAATCATAGCTCACTGCAGCCTTGAACTCTTGGGCTCAAATGATCCGCCTGTCTCAGCCTCCTGAGTAACTGGGCTTACAGGTATGTGCCACCACACCTGGCTATCCTGGATTTTAATAAATTATCTGATCATCCTAGTTATATGCCTAGTATGAGTATATCCTTTTTTTTTTTTTGAGACGGAGTTTCGCTCTTGTTACCCAGGCTGGAGTGCAATGGCACAATCTCGGCTCAACGCAACCTCTGCCTCCTGGATTCAGGCAATTCTCCTGCCTTGGCCTCCTGAGTAGCTGGGATTACAGGCACGCACCACCATGCCCAGCTAATTTTTTGTATTTTTAGTAGAGATGGGGTTTCACCATGTTAACCAGGATGGTCTCAATCTCTTGACCTTGTGATCCTCCCGCCTCGTCCTCCCAAAATGCTGGGATTATAGGCGTGAGCCACCGCACCCGGCGAGTATATCCTTATTATGAGGTTTGATTGGCCACTGTTACCAGTTCTATTAAAGGGACTGATGAGCTGTACTTATCTACTCTCCATTCAGGTGCTCAAGTCTAAGGATACTGTGGCTTTTTTCCAATATTTATTTGGCATTTATTAGGTGCCGTTCACAATATTAGTCCTTATTCTCTGGTTCTCTGAGAGCTTATAGTTTAGTAAGGAGGTGACAGAAATACAAACATGTGATTTCAATGAAATGTTGTATAAGGATATGTATAAAGCTAGAGGTATGCAGTTGGGTGCCTTGAGACCACAGACCAAGGGCCACTGACCTAGCACAGAGTTTGTCCACCTTGGCCTTATTGACATTTTGGACCACATAATTTTGGCAGGTGGGGAGGGGAGTTGTCCTTTGCATTTTAGGATGTATATTTTTATTGTTATTTAGGATGCATATTTTATTTATGTTATGTATATTTTACATATATATTTATGTTATGTATATTTTATTTATGTATATTATATGGATGTTATTTAGGATGTATATTTTATTTATGTTATGTATATTTTACATATATATTTATGTTATGTATATTATATGGATGTTATTTAGGATGTATATTTTATTTATGTTATGTATATTTTACATATATATTTATGTTATGTATATTTTATTTATATATATTATATGGATGTTATTTAGGATGTATATTTTATTGTTATTCCTTAAGTCATAACAATAAAAAATGCCTCTAGATATTGTCAATTGCCCCTGAAGGATAAAACTGCTCGAGGTTGAGAAGCACCCTGGTCCAAGAAGCAGAAGACGATGTGGGGGACTGCCCCAAAATTCCTGCTGGAGACGGAGCTGAGCTAGTCTGGTGGACTCAGGAAGGGTAAGACCAAGAAGGGAAATGGAGTAGAGGAAAGGGCTTCGTGAACGGAGCATGAGTGATGTGTAGGAGCAGGAAACAGAAAGAAGGGAGTTGCATGAATGGGTGGCATGTGGTGGAAAAGGAGTAAACTCAGTGCAGTATTACTAACCTACGTATTTAAGTGCTTTTTGACTTGCTTTTCTTATTCTCTGTATTTTGATTACTTCAGGGTCAGGTTGACAGCTGAATTCTAAAAGATAATATATGCAAAAGCACTTTGCAGACCCTGTGAAGTGCTATTCATATGTAAATTATCAATGTTATTACCATAACAGCAGACAAAACAATGCACTTTATGGTTTTGTTTTGTTTGTATGCACTCTGTAATCCTTAAGAATTCTGAAGAGCAGAGCATTACTGTGCTCTGTGATGCTTATTAAACCATTGTCCCTCAGCTTCAAACACTCTCATATACTCTGGTTGTGACGCTGGGGCAACCCCTAGAAACCTTATTTTTCCTTTGCCAGCCAGCTCCTTATGCCAGGAGGGGGCAGTAGAGGGAGAACCCAAGCCTGGAGACTGGAAAAGGGACTGCTCCTTCCTTTTCCTCTCAAGGTCACCTTGACAATGTCTCTTCACTCTAGTTGGTTTCAGTAGCAGTAGTTGACTCCAGTTTTCCCAGCACTCTCAGAATCAGCTTTGTGATACTTTTTCAAAGACACCAGGACCCACAAGCTTGGGATTTCACTCTCCTGAGAGGCCTGGGTCCTGGTTCTAAGCGTCAATAATTCCAGTGTTAATACTTCTAAGTGTAAATAACTCCTCCTGTGATCCCCAGTCATAGAGGTGGAAGCTGCTTCTTGTACTGACTACCCTTAGGATACTTGTGTTCCCTTTTCAACTTTTCAGTTAATAAATCTTCATTTAAATTATTTCCATTTAAATAACTGGCATGGTTTCTGTCTCCTTACTGACTACCACTTGTGTTTATTATTCCAGCCGTTAGTCACTCCAAATAAGAATACTCAGGATAGCCATTACAAGGGGGGAAGGAGGAAGACCAAGCCCAGAGTGTCCCACGCTCTAAGTGTGACTAGTCTCTGCAAGTAGCTGCTAGATTGACAGACTCCTGAATCATGCGGGGACCACTAGTTTTCAGAAAAGCCAGTTAATATCTTTTCTGGATAGTGCAGAAAGCACTTGAAGAGTCTGAAGAACTACAGCATCATTTCCGTTGACCAGTACATGAGAAAGTGGACAAGTGTGAATGACTCAGTGTTGATTCTATAACATATTCTGGAAGCTGCTATTAGGACTAAATCCTTCTGCTTAAAATTTGTTTGCATGTTTGCAGTTGCTATAATAATACTTTGTGTAATATACTGGGCAGAGTAACCCTAATGGTTTCAGTTACCTTGCTTTTATTTCCTCTACAGACATTGAGATCCTACTGTGCACTCATAAGACAAGGTCCCTGATGCCAAAGAGTTAAAAAAAAAAAAAAAAAAAAACTAACTCAAAAAACAGAATAAAAAGTGCTAAAGCTGGGTAGTAAGGACATTTTCCAATTTCCCATGTTTCCTATCATTAATGAGACAACTGATATTGAAGCACTCTTTTTTCCTTTTTTTAACTATTTTGTCTCGCTTTGTCACCCAGGCTGGAGTGCAGTGGTGTGATCTCGGCTCACTAGGTTCAAGCAATTATCCTGCTTCAACCTCCTGAGAATCTGGGACTACAGGTGTGTGCCACCATGCCTGGCTAATTTTTATACTTTTAGTAGAGACGGAGTTTCGCCATGTTGGCCAGGCTGGTTTCCAACTCCTGATCTCAGGTGATCCCCCCACCTTGGCCTCCCGAAGTGCAGGGATTACAGGCATGAGCCACCGTGCCCGCTGGAGCATTCTTTTTCTTTTCTTTTCTTTTTTGAGACAAGGTCTCACTCTCACCCAGGCTGGAGTGCAGTGGCATGATGTTGATTGACTGCAGCCTCAACCTCCTGGGCTCTGGTGATCCTCCCACCTCAGCCTTCCAAGTACCTGGGACTACAGGCACGTGCCACCACACTCAATTAATTTTTAAAATGTTTTGTAGAGGCAAGGTTTTGCCATGTGGCCCAGGCTGATCTTGAATTCTTGGGCTCAAGCAATCCTCTGGCTCAGTTTCCCAAAATGCTGGAATTACAGGGTAAGCCACTGCACCTGGCCTCGAAGCAATCTGAAGACAGTTATTCAAATCTACCTGTTTTTTTAATGTGAACATAATTCCTAATGCTTCCTTTTTAAATTCTTTTTGAAACCTTTTTTGATAGTGAAATATTCTACCCATGCATAAGTGTTCAGCTTAATGAACTTTTACAAGAAGAACATCTGTATAACCATCATTAAGGTCAGGAAATACAATCTCAAAAGCATTGGTCTCCCTACCTGCCAGAACTCACCACAATGCTCATAACTTTATGGAAATCACTAAGTGGGTAGTGATTCCCATAAAAGTGCTTTTTTGCTTTTTTTCATAGTTTCCTCCACTAAGTATGCTTAAGACACTTAGCCGGTCTTTAATTTATATACAAAAATCTTACAGCATGTATTTTTTCTGGGTCTTCGTTGTTGTTCAAAATTGTATTTTTAGTATGCTTCAATATAGTTACACGTAGTTGTATTTCATTCATTCTCATTGCTGTGTAGTATGCCAGTATAGGAAATACCATAATCTAATTAACCATTCTATTGTTGACAGATAGTTCCGTTATTTCCAGTTTATATGCACAGGAGCATGCACTCCTTAGGGTAAATACCTAAAGGTAAAATTGCTGGATCCCCAGGTATACATATCCTGGCGAAGGTCAACCCATTTTCCAAAATGGTTGGTTGCATCGGTTCTCACTCCCGCCAGCAGAAGGTGAGGGTTCTTCGCCCTACATCTTCCCCAGCACCTGGACGCTGCCAGACGTTTCAACTTAGACCTTTTCGACTCAACTTACGGTAAGTGCGGTATTATCCATTGCGGTTTTAATTGGTCATCTTCTGATTATTAATGAATTAAAACACCATTTCAATACACAGATATCGGCCATTTAGATTTCTCTGGTGTTTGTGAAATACCTTTCCATCTATCCATTCTTTAATAGGACTCCTTTTCTTCTTGATTTGTAGGAGTTCCTCGCCTATCCTAGCAGTTTTATTTGTGGCAAATAAAACCCCCGGGCGGCCTCTGCCCTCCGGCACTGGGAAGTCCAGGCGGCGAGGCAGCCTCTCAGGGGGCGCCAGGGCTCCTCCGGCTCTGCCCCGATGTCGTTATCACGGCCATTTGCAGCTCCGGGCCAGGACCAGGGGTGCGGTTCGCGACGTGGGGTCCTCGGTGGGGTCCCGCCCCGCCCAAGCGGCCCAGGCGTCTGTGTTGCTCGTGGTCTCCAGGACAGCGCCGGGGCGGGCGGGGGCGTGAGCAGCGGCTGCGGCGACGGCGGCGGCGGCGGCGGCGCGGGAGGACGCGGGGCCGCCGGGATCGCGGCCGCCGAGGAGCGCCGGGCAGGTGACTGGCGGTGGCCTCCCGGATCCGGCGTGGGCGGCGGGCCCAGGGAGGGAAACGCGAAGGGCTGACTGGGGTTGGAGAGGCCAGGAAACAACTGGAGCACGCCGGGGAGGAGCCGGCGCGAGAGCCTTCGGGACGGAGTGGGGAGCGACAAGGGGGCGAGGCTGCGCCAAGGGGCCGGGAGACCGCGATCTCAGGATTCGGCGTCCGGGCTCCCAGAGCAGTCCAGTTCCGGGTCAGTCAAGACCGGTCCCAGGCACCAGGCCCACCGACCTGTCACTTCCGGGACCTCCAAACGCCCCTTGTGGCGGGTCGTGTCCCTCAGGAACAAGCAAAGGTAGAAAACAAACCCAACGCCTCTACTGGGCAGCTTCCGGCCTGTTTCAAACCTGGGTTACTTTTTCTTTACAATTCACCTTGGTGAGCCCAAGCAGGGTTCCTTTTCCCCTCCAGGAGAAAGCTTGTTTGTCCCATGCTAGTGGACTAGACTCGTTACAGGGATCCCTGGGGAGCTGGCCGCTTCTTAGTCCCTAGGTGCCATCTGATCTACCCCTGTCTTGTTTATTTAGGGGACCGGTCGCCTCTCTTGGTCAGAATTTCAGTGGCACAACCCTTTTTTTTCACTGCACGGGTGGAGGGAGCCACATTCATTAAATTTAAATGCCCACTTTCTAACTTATTCAAGCTGTCAGCTGTTCCTTCTTCAACCGCATGTTTTCTTTTTTCTTTTTTTCTGAGACGGAGTTTCGCTCTTGTTACCCAGGCTGGAGTGCAATGGCGCCATCTGGGCTCACCGCAACCTCCGCCTCCTGGGTTCAGGCAATTCTCCTGCCGCAGCCTCCTGAGTAGCTGGGATTACAGGCACACACCACCACGCCCAGCTAATTTTTTTTTGCATTTTTAGTAGAGACGGGGTTTCACCATGTTGACCAGGATGGTCTCAATCTCTTGACCTCATGATCCACCCCCGCCTCGGCCTCCCGAAGTGCTGGGATTACAGGCTTGAGCCACCGCGCCCAGCCAACTGCATGTTTTCATAAGATCAGGCCTCCACAGAAAACCCTGCTTTTGTGGCATTTGGCTTTGCTTTTGCATACTTTAGTAAACTTCAGGAATCTGCTAATATCAACGAAGTTATCTTCTATGGTTACTGTTTTATTATTTGTTCATTCTAAGAAAGCTTCGTCTATTTCATTTAAGAAGAGAAGTTCAAGGGACTGAATTATTTTCAGAGTAATTCTAAGTTGCACTGTAAGGCTTAAGCTTGCTCTTCAAGATCTCAAATTCGGTGACCTTAGCTCTTCCACTAAAACTAGTGTTTGTGCAAACTCTTTTAGTTAAAACATGTTAGTATTTGATAGATTTGCTGCTTTCTTGGCACGTCCTAAAAAGCAACAATTGAAATAATCAGGCAGAGTGTAATATGTATTTTAAAAATGAGACAAAATAATACAACAAACCAGTCTGTAAAATTAGAGAATAATATTTTAGTTTACCAACAGGGCAGACTTCAAGTTAAATAGAAGACTCACTTCATGTGTATTTACATCTGAACGTCACCAGTTGCCTGTTGTTTGCTAAGGTGCTTTCCTCCAAGGAGTTATGATGCTCCTTGGAAACATTAGCAACAGGTCAACATAATCCTAGGAATAGTCATAAGGTTATGCCATTTAATTAAAGTTAGGATTTGCCAAAAGAACAAGAGCAAGCCATTAAGACAAATCTTACAGTAATTTCTAATGATAAAGATTTCTGTTTCCTGACTCACAGGAAAAAAAAAGGCGGGGGGTGGGTGGGTATGAAGGCAATGAGATAGAAGGTAGGCCAAAATAGAAAAATGCCAGGTAGAGATGAAAGGAAGCACACTCCAAACGCATCGTGTCCTTTCAGTCCTACGTGAACTCAAAGCACCCTTTCAATAGGTCTTTATAATGACCCTTAGAGACAGTGAAGGTTCACTTGACTCATACTCATAAGTGAGTTGGAAGGGACTCCAGCTTACTCCCAGCTGTAATTCCGGCCAATCTCCCACCCACTCAGCTTTCCCCAGGATGGCATCCCCTTCAGGAATGTAGACCTCTAGCCTCTGCTTTGAATTGCTCAGTGGCAGAATTCACAAGGCCACTAAATCTTTTGTTGAACAGTTTTATTTATTTTTTTCTGTTAGGGTCTTGCTCTGTTACCCAGGCTGGAGTGCAGTGGCACAGTCTCAGCTCACTGCAGCCTCTGCCTGCCCAGCTCAAGTGATCCTCCCACTGCAGTCTCCCAAACAGCTGGAACTACAGGCCTATCCTACCATGCCCACTATTTTTTTTTTTTTTTTTTTTTTGTAGAGATGGGATTTTGCCATGTTGCCCAGGCTGGTCTTGAACTCCTGGACTTAAGCGATCTGCCCACCTTGGCCTCCCAAAGTGCTGGTATTACAGGTGTGATTGTTGAACAGTTTTAATCATTATTGTGGGTTTTAAAAAAATACTGGATGTGGTTGATCTCCATTTATGGCCATCTAAATTATATGTTCCTATCTGGCCACAACCTGGGCATCAGAAAGTCTTTTCCAAATGATGTTGCCAGCCAAAATAGGTCTAGGAAAAAAACAGCTTTCCCATTTACAGTCCCAACTATGGAAAACCACATTCTTCTTTCTTCTCCCTTTACTTTTCAAAAGGAAGGCCCTGAACCTGTTTTAATCTATCCGCAAATACTACTGGGCATATTTGTATTGTTGCTCTGGCCTTTGAAATAAGGCCATCAAAGTACTGTCCATAATTAATCATTTGTCGTAGTCCAGGCTTGTCTGTAACAAGTGCTTGGAAGCTAGAAATAGGAATCTGCTTCCAAGCAGCCATTTATTTCATCAATAAAACTGCATTAGATTACTCAGGCTGCTTATGAGCTCTACATCAGTTGTGTTTCTGTAGAGAGAAAAACAATTGTTTTTCTAATAGACCTTTCTTATACACACAAAAGGTACGTACAAAAGCCTGCAGATAACAGAACAAGGTTCTCTTACTGATTTAAATATTTGATTAACATTGACATTATAATGACTTATAAAGAGACTTGGACTCCCGCACAATAATAGTGGGAGACTTTGATACCACATTGTTAATATTCAACAGATCAATGAAATAGAAAATTAACACGGACATGTATGATTAGAACTCAGACCTGGAACAAGTAAACTCAGTGAATATTTATAGAATTCTTCACCCCAAGTCCACAGAACATACATTTTTCTCAGTATCACATTACACCTATTTTGAAAGTGACCACATAATTGGAAATAAATCACTCTTCAGCATTTGCATAGCATTTCACAGACTTAAATGAAATATTGGTTGGCTGTTTGTTAGTTATTTTCTTCCCTTATTCCTTCCTGTCTTCACTGTTAAGCACAATTATCGGCATAAAAGAGATTTTTAATACCTATTTTTAGATTGCATTCCAGCCTGGGCAATAGAGCAAAACTCCTGTTCTCTCTCCCCCTTTTTCTTTCTTTCCTTAAACAAAACAAGACAAAACAAAACAAAAATATTGACATTAATGAGATTTCAGTAGTCGCAGAGTAACATAAATGTAATTTTTTTCAGGTAATGCCTTTACAAACTACAACTTTCGATATCAGCCAGCTGCTCCTATCAAGAGTATCCCCTGTTAATTTTTTACATTTTTCAAGATGAGTAAAAGTAAACTAATTCCCAAGCTCTCTATTCAATCTCCTGTTCATCATACCAACTTAAATATTCACCCACCTTTTAAGAAAGAAGACTTACATCGGATTTCAAAAGACTCCTTGGAATCTGATTCAGAAAGCCCCACTCAAGAGATTATGTCCCAGCCTGAGTTTGATGATAACGATATGGAGCCCGACAGCTTAGACGAGGAAAGCCTGCATGAGGCAGAAGAAGAAGCAAGCGTAAAAGCAGCTCAGATGGCTGGAGAGCAAAACCACCATAGCTGGGACAAGGGCACCAATAACAGGTAAGGAATTGGCTTGTGTAAGATAACAATGGCCTATGAAATGTATTATTAAATAATTACTGGTATCATTTCAAATGAGAGTAAGGGCAAGCTGCCCTAATGAGTGCCTTGCGATGTGTGAGAGACAGTTCTCTAAACAGCCAAGGATAGCTGGGCACCGTGTTTTTTCCATCTTCAGATGTTTTTAAATTAAAAAGTGCAATGGGTATTAATAAGGGCATTTGCATTTCCCATACCATTTATTTCCTGTCCATATTCAAGTGTCTCTACACTAGGATCTCATCTGGGAAAAATTCCAGAAGCCTGGTATAGAAAAGGATTTGGAGTCATTTGGTCTAGGCACTGCTGTTTAGCGTATAATTTGGAATCAGTCACTTAACTTTTTTTCACTTTAAAAAAAATTTTATATAGTATTAAATATTTATAATAGAGATAGGGTCTCACTATGTTGGCCAGGTTGGTCTTGAACTCCTAGTCTCAAGCAGTCCTCCCACTTCAGCCTCCCAAAGTGCTAGGATTACAGGCATAAGCCACCATGCCCGACCCACTTAATTCTTTTTTTGGCTCACTTTTTCTCATCTGTCAAATAACCTGACCTGCCTATCTCACAGGATTGCTATTAATGTCAATAAAGTTCAAATAATTGGGGGTAGAATCTTACCTGGATCATTCAGAGCTAGTAGAGGTCTACCTCCCAGGGCTTGTATGTTCATATAAAGATTTGATCTAATAACCGGAATTTATGAGATTTGACTTTGTGCTATGAGCTACCAAAAAATGAAAGGGAATATAAAATGATGTGGTGATATCACTTTGTTACAATTGAGTCACTAATGATATGAGAGAGTACAGAAGAAGGCAAGAGGAAGTTTTAGTGTGATGGTGAAGTGCGTGGCATCTGAAGCAGACCATCTGGGTTCAAATAGTGGCTCTGCCACTTGGCTAGCTGTATAACCTTAGCCAAGTACAATTAATGTTTCCGTGCCTCAGTTTCTTCATCAGTAAAAATGGGATAATAACAATCGTTAACCAGTTATCATGAGGCTAAAATAAATATATATAAAGTGTCTATAATAGTGACTGGCTCCTTATAAATGATATTGTGTTAGATTTTTTTTGGTGGGGGGGGTGACAGAATCTTGCTCTGTCACCAGGCTGGAGTGCAATGGCTCGATCTTGGCTCACTGCAACCTCCACCTCCCGGGTTCAAGTGATTCTCCTGCCTCAGCCTCCTGAGTAGCTGAGACTACAGGCGAGTGCCACCATGCCCAGCTAATTTTTGCATTTTTAGTAGAGATGGGGTTTCACCATGTTTGCCAGGATGGTCTCAATCTCTTGACCTTGTGATCCATCTACCTTGGCCTCCCAAAGTGCTGGAATTACAGGAGTAAGCCACTGTGCCTGGCTGATTTTTTCTTTTAATTCGGGCTGAAATATATTAAAAGTTTATTGAAAGGCCTAGAACTTAGGCAGAGTCTTGAAAACAAGCTAAGATCTGGATAATAGAACAGAATGGGAGTGACATGTTTGTGGCACATTAGGGAGCCCAGCTGGATTGCAGAGGATTTGTTTTGAGTGTAGGGAAAGTAGACTGAGTATGGATCTGATTATAGGGGCCTTAAAAATGTGCTTATAGTATTGGAAGATGAATTTTCGGGTCATGAAGTGTAACCATCCTACCACAGATGAGGATATTGAGTCTTACAGAACTCAAATGACTTGTCCTGTAGATACAGTCACTTCCAGGGATCCTGTGGGAGACAGAAGTAGAGCCCAGTCCTGAGTCTTTTCTTTCTTTCTTATCTTTCTTTTTCTTCCATCCTTTCGTCTTCCCCTCCCTTTTTTCACTGGGGATATCTAGTTGAATCAGTCTCATAAGTGTTTTTTGGTGATATGTCACAGTAAAAGTGATAAGAGCTGTCACCAAGGTGCTGGAGGCAGAAGAGGCATGTGGGACAACTTCAGAGAGACAGACCCCCTTGATTGGACTGAGTTGGGAAAGCCAGGCAGAGAGAATACAGGTTCTTGGGGAGGGCGGTGAGATGCAGCAGTGTTTAAGGAAGATTATTCTGCAAGTTGGTGCATTTGAATGAGAGAGTAAACACACAATGAGCAAAGAGACCACTGGATGGATATGACAGTAATAACAGTGATATCACTTTTTAAAAGCCTATCTTAGTTTCACTCAATTCTCCATCGCAATCCAGTAGGGAAGATGCTGCTTTTCCTATTTCACAGATAAGGAAAATGAGGCTAGCAGAGATGAAGAAACTTGTCTAAGGTTATAGTGCTTGGAGGATGTCCTTGTCTTGTTACTGATGCTGTTTTTTTTTAAAATCATGTGAAAATTCTAACCTGTAGAAAATTACAGAGAAAAATACAGTATGACCCTTATTACCATATTTGTTTCAGACATATTTTTAAAATTCGTACTTTATTACAGATAAAGTTTCCTTGTACCCCCTTCTCAAACTCATTCCCCTTCTTTCCCCCTCAGAGGTAATCAATACATACTCTTACATGAGTGTGCATCCTTCTCATCAATCTTCCATTCATTTATTTCATAGGTAATCTATAATTAGTAGATAAATATATATCTATTTATGGATGTATGATGCCCTTTTCATTTAGTCAACATTATGTTGTTGGCATTTTACAATTATGCTTTTGAACTAAGACATGGTCTTGGTTGAATATTGATGAATGTTTAGGGTTTTTCCAGTTTTTGTTATTTCAGACAGTGCTCTGTGCACGTCCTTGTATGCTTCCTTGGGTATGCAGGCAGGAGTTTCCTTAGGGTATAAGTTCCCAGGAGTGGAATTGCTGGTTCATGGGAGAATGGACAACTTCAACTTAACCCATAAGTACCTACAAGTTACCAGTCCTCAGAATTACTCAGTCTTTTAAACCTTTGCCATTCTGATGGGTTATAAAATCCTGTCTTATTATAGATTTAAATTACTTTTCTCTGATTACTTGTGAGCCTGAGAATCTTTTTACATGTTTTTAACCAAATGAGATAAATTTAGACATCCTCTTTGGCAACTGGTTATTTTCATTTAACAGAATACCCATGTGAATCTTGAGTATCTTTCTATAGAGTTGCCCTTCTGTATCATGGCTTTCGCATCTGTGGATTCAGTCAAGCACAGATCAAAAATATTTGGGGAATAAATGGATGGTTGAATCTGTACTAAACATGTATAGAGACTATTTTTCCTGTCTTTATTCCCTAATAATGTAGTATAACAACTATTTACAGGTTGGGCGAGGTGGCTCACGCCTGTAATCCCAGCACTTCGGGAGACTGAGGCGGGTGGATCATGAGGTCAGGAGTTCAAGACCAGCCTGGCCAAGATCGTGAAACCTCGTCTCTACTAAAAATACAGAAATTAGCCCGGCGAGGTGGCAGGTAATCCCAGCTACTTGGGAGGCTGACGCAGTAGAATCGCTTGATGGAGGTGGAGGTTGCAGTGAGCTGGAGATCGTACCACTGCACTCTAGGCTGGGCGACAGAGCAAGACTCCATCTAAAAAAACAAAAACAAAAACCCCAGCTATTTGCATAGCATTTACATTGTATTAGGTATTATAAATAATCTAGAGATCATTTAAAATATATAGGAGGACATGCATAGGCTATATGCAAATATTACCCCAATTTATAAAAGGGACTTGCCCATTCCTGGATTTTGGTATCAGCAGGGAGTCCTGGAACCACTCCCTCACAGGTAACTAAGCGATGATTATATTTATATTTTCATAGTACGTATTGTATATGGTACATAGTATTCTAGTATCTGCAGGTACCATGATAAATTTATGCAGTCACCCAAGGGTGGACTTTGGGATGTTCCCAGTTTGTTTGTTTGGAGACAGAGTCTTGCTCTGTCGTCTGGGCTAGAGTGAAGTGGCACTATCTTGGCTCATTGTAACCTCCGCCTCCCGGGTTAAAATGATTCTCATGCCTCAGCCTCCCGAGTAGCTGGGATTACAGGTATGTGCCACAACCCTCGGCTAATTTTTTCTTCTTTTAGTAGAGATGGGGGTCTTAACACGTTGCCCAGGCTGGTCTTGAACTCCTGAGCTCAGGCATTCTGTGCACCTTGGCCTCCTAAAGTGCTAGGATTACAGGCTCCCAGTTTTTTTTTTTTCTTTTTTAGCAAAACTTTGACTGAAATTTTATATATATAAATAAAAGAATGGACAGGTTTTGATGATAGATTAGATATGGGGATTGAAGGAACAAGAGAAGCCAAAGATGAAGGGTCCCTTTAACAATAGCTGGCATTTATAGAATGCTTTTCATGAGCCAGTTTCTGTGCTAAACATTTTATGTGTATTATCTCATTTAATCTTTACTGCAGCCTGGTAGATACTGTAATGATCCCATTTTGAAGTTTGCAAAGGAAACTTTAGAAGTTTATATTATGCCCGTTTATTGAATCTAATGAGTGGTAGAGCAGAAAACTCAGGCAGTCTGACTCCATGGCTCCAAACCCTGTTTTTATCCTGGCTCCTAACAGATTTATAATCTCCTAGGTAATAAATGGAAGTAGTTTTAGTTATAGAAATGGGGCCACTGAAAAGGAAAAAATCTTTTGCAATAGATAGTTGTTTTTGTCTATACTTTTAAGATGAAGAAACCAAGGTAAGAATCCATTAAGTGACCTCATTTCCTGTCGTCAAGTTGTTTTCTCCTTTTGTCCAGTGCTCAGGGACCTGCCTTTAACCATTGTTCTTACCAAAGACAGTTTAAATACCATCTAATATATTTCAAAATAAAGAATAATGCTGACAAAAATCAAAATTATGGTTGGATTCTTGTTTTTCTGATTCAGAGATCCTCAAATAATGCTTTTTTCTTCAGATTGATTTGCCTGGAAATTTTTTTTTTTTTTTTTTTTTGAGACGGAGTTTCGCTCTCGTTACCCAGGCTGGAGTGCAATGGCACAATCGCGACTCACCGCAACCTCCACCTCCTAGGTTCAGGCAATTCTC